TAAGCAGAGAAATGATAAAGTTTGAAGGTGTTAGACAATTGTGGCCTGTTAGTAATCCACGCCTCTCTCCTCTTAAACTTTTGGAATTAGCTTGTTCAGTGTATTGTTCATGTTCATTCAGATAAAGAATGGTCAGGTTTCACCAAGCTATTTCCGTATACCTGAGCCAGACACAATGACTAAGATATAAGGAAGAAAAGAGAATATTTTAAGTAGTGAACCTGAAATCACCTGAGTTAGAAAAAATATCATATGTACTTTTATTTGTGAGACATATAAAAAATCGTTTCCCATCTTATAGAACACACCTCATTCTCTGTGTCTTTGAGGAGAACTTGTTAGTTTTCTAACTGGGACAGTTTCTACTTATCACCTGAGCTAAATTTTGCTGGAATCTGAGTTGCTTTAACATCACATAATAAAACTAAATAAAACACTTGGAAATTATAACCCAGACTATGGGTTTTGCTGGAGAAATCAGCAAATCAGAATCATTATTACTAGACATGGAAATCCTGAGTTGTAGGTCTCATGCTATCAACACTGCTGATGCTTTTTAGTGCCTCACTCATGCATTAACAGCCAGTGGGATAAAGTGTAATGTATCACAACTTTGGTTTATTTCATCACTGCTGTTGTTATGTAAAGCCAGCAGACTCCTCTTTTCTCCATTTAAGAATTTCCAGGCTGAACTCAAAAATAACATTCTAGGTTAGAATAAAAAATTACCTCTTGAAATGTTTCTTCAAAATGTGCATAGAATTAGTATAAAAAAATAAGTTACTGCATTTTCTAGCAAGGAAAACATGTATTGTTAAAAATATTAATACACAGAATTATTTATTTCTCTAGAACTGTTGGGTAGCTAGATTAACAATTTGCAGATGAAAAGGTGTGAAGTGCTAAAAATAACCTGCGGAGCAAGTTTTTTCACCTGACAAACTTATATTAATTTTTAAATTACAAATCACACAATGATGCTAATTTCCCTCTCTAGAAGGCAAAAATGCGCCTTGCTTGAGATCTGAAAGAATTCAATGAATCTTATGTGTAATCTGTTATCTACAATATCATGAATCTTTCAGTGCCATACATTTTCCTAATGTCATTTTAACTGAAATCAATTGTAGGTCATCCAAAAACCAAAACCTCATAACCCATGGGGGAACCAACAGCATCTATGAGGCCATCTACCATGGTGTCCCGATGGTGGGCATTCCCCTGTTTGTGTACCAGTCTGATAAATGGTGTATATAGAAGGCAAAGGGAACAGCTGTCAGAGTGGACTTTCAGACAATGTCAAGCACAGACTTGCTCACTGCATTGAATAAAGTCTTGCAAGTCTTAATGACCCTTCATGAATATCAAAAAATTTTAATAGATAGTAGTTATACTACTAGTTATACATAGGGTATTTGTCACCAATAAATGAGTTTCATATGTTTTAGGTATTAGTTATGAAACTATTAGCATGGTATCATCACCAGAGATCCAATATCTTTCAATACATATATTAGTTTTTATTAGTTTTTATGTTTTAAAATATTTTGGTTATTTTTCACAATATAGGATTTTTCCCTTTAGAAAGTAATGTAGTCACAATAAATAGGTAGGACTACATCAAACTGCAAAGCTTCTGTACAATAAAAGAAACAAAACTAAAACAGAAAGATGCCCTCCTAGCATCCAACCACAAGACATGAAATATCTATTCCTCCTATCAGATTCGGAATTCAAGTTTGCAATCATAAAGAAGTTTAAGGCACATAAAAGAGAATACTGTATCATGCAAAACTATCCTTTTCTTATGAGGATGAAAAAGGGGTCTTCTCAGTCAACTAACTAGTCAAAGAAAAACTGAAACGGTCAAAACTGAATAGCCAAGTAACAAAAAAAAAAAAAAAACAAAAAAAACCTGAATCTACATATACTAATAATAACATAGAATTATTAAACAAATCCTTCACAAAAGCCAGTGTCTGGGGCCAGGTGATTTCACTGATGATGAATGTTTAATGCTCCCAAACATTAAAATAGGGTTACCGCAACCTACTCAATTTTTCTTATGAGACCAGAATAATCCTGATGCTAAAATCAGATAAAGATGCCACAAAAAGGAAATGATAGGCATTACCTTTGATGAGCACAGAATCAAATATCCAAAAAGAAAGTGCCAACAAATTACATTAAAAGTACCTTGATCAGGCCCTCCCTGGTGGCGCAGCGGGTTAAAGCACTGCACTGAGAAGCTGAAGCCACTTCCGCATGGGTTCGATTCCCGCCTGCCCTGGAGGTGACCACATGGCGTGGCAGACCTCTCCTGACCCGCCCGCTGCTCCCCTCAGCAGTGTACTTCATCGATCTGCCTGTTCTGCTCCCCACACTGTCTCTGGTGAAGTCTTTCGCCACCCCTGAGTCTCTGGCCTGCACCCCAGTTCTGGATGCACAAATAAATAAATCTTTAAAAAAAAAAAAAAAGTACCTTGATCAGGCCCTCCCTGGTGGCTCAGCGGGTTAAAGCACAGCACTGAGAAGCTAAAGCCACTTCAGCATGAGTTCGATTCCCGCCATCCCCGGAGGTGACCACATGGCGTGGCAGACCTCTCCTGACCCGCCCGCTGCTCCCCTCAGCAGTGTACTTCATCGACCTGCCTGTTCTGCTCCCCACTCTGTCTCTGGTGAAGCCTCTCACCCTCTGCATCTCTGGCCTGCACCCCAGTTCTGGATGCACAAATAAAAAATCTTAAAAAAAAAAAAAGTACCTTGATCAACTGGGACTTACTTCAGGGATGAAGGATGGCTCCACAGAAACAAATAACAAACCATTGGGAAGAAAATTAATAAAGTCGTTTCTTTTACAGCACCATCCAAAAAAGAATAAAATACAAGGGGAAAAGCTTAACAGAGTGAAGTAACTATATACTAAGAATGCAAAGGAGTCAGGATTCTATGCTTGTGGAATGGAATATTAGTAAAATGTCCATACTCCCTTACACAAAGCAGATTCAATGAAATCCCTATGAAAACCCCAATAACATTTTCACAAAAGTAGAACAAACCATCCTAAATATATCATGAATATATCTTGAGGTGAATTCACCAATAGGGAACTGTTATATCTTATAAAATCCCACATATAATTACATCATGTAAGATTATTAATTAAATTAATTATACTGTGTCCTACAATATTTGTCAACATATTGGAGAATATAATTAACACAAGATCAACCTTCAAAATATTTTTTTAGTGTGTAGTATTGTATTGATAATTTCAAGAACTGCTCTATTATCCATCTCTAAAATTAAATCACTTCCTAAAATTGACTCTCTTTGAAATAAAATCACAATTTACATTTATTTAATTATAAGGTGAGCACAAAACTGTAACTCTACCAGAGTTTAACATTATTAATTTTTACCAACTTTTATCATCATTACATATCTGTCTATGAAAAATGTCTCTGACATTCCATGACATTTATTTATTTCTAGGTAACACTGGGTTGCAACAGGCTAGCAGGTTCACTTGTCAAAAAAAACATTATTGCATGATCCCATTTAGAGAAATTGTTCAGATTAGGCAAATCTATAGAGACAAACCCAGATTTATTCTTGACTAGACTAGGAAAGACACAGAAATTAGACAGATCCAGCCAAAGAATAAAGACTTAATGTGGGGATGATAAAATTCCCTGAATTTGGTATCATAGAAGCTGCAAGAGTCTATGAATATACTACAAAGGACAGAATTCTACATTTTAAATCACATTTGAATGATTTTGGCATTAAATATTAGGAAACTTTTATAAAAAGAAACAAAACAATCTCTTAAAAAATTATCCCAAGTCAATCACACTCAACTGCACCAGCGTTTTCTCTTTAATTCTTCTGGCCGTAGATGGCAGGCCAGTCATTGCTCCTTTTCCAGTATTCTCAACCCTCTTATAAAATGTATTGTGTAAGACAGAAAACTCAAAATTGCAAGGCTATTAACTTTCACTTGGCAATAGCACTTATAATCTTCAGACATTGGACCGTTTTGTATATAAACAACGTCATCTACTTTTGCTTACTTCACATGCCACACAAATATTCTGGTTGTAAACACAATATATTGACTTTAAGGTGTGGCAGTTATAGTTTAACTTGGAATAACCATGAGCAATGTGAGAAGGGAAAGAACATTTTCAGAGAGCACCACATTTCACCAGGATGTCTGTGAAGTGGATGTCAGCTCTTCTGCTGCTCCAGCTGGGCTGTTACTTTAGCTCTGGGAGCTGTGGGAAGGTGCTGGTGTGGCCCACGGAATACAGCCACTGGATGAATATAAAGACGATCCTGGATGAACTTGTTGCAAGAGGTCACCAAGTGGTTGTTCTAACATCTTCAGCTTCCATTCTCATTGATCCCAGCAAACCCTCTGCCATTAAATTTGAAGTCTACCCTACATCTTTCTCTAAAGCTGAGTTTGAAAGTGCTTTCAAGCAAGTAGTGAGCGAGTGGACATATGAGCTGCCTAAAGACTCCTTTTGGTCATACTTTTCAAAATCGCAAGATATTCTTTGGAGATTTTTTGATATTGTTAACCAGCTTTGTAAAGATGTAGTCAAGAACAAGAAACTTATGACCAAGCTCCAAGAATCAAGATTTGATCTCATTCTCTCAGACCCCGTGGGACCCTGTGGTGAGCTGCTGGCGGAGGTGCTGAAAGTACCATTTGTGTACACTCTACGCTTCATACCTGGATACCAATTTGAAAAGCATATTGGAAAACTTCCAATCCCACCCTCCTATGCGCCTTTTGTTTTGTCAGAATTAAGTGATAAAATGACATTTACGGAGAGAGTAAAAAACATGATATATATGCTCTACTTTGACTTTTGGTTCCAAACAATAAATTACAAGCAGTGGAATGAGTTTTACAGTGAAGTACTAGGTAAGTCATATTTTTAGTTGGCAGAATTATGCTACCTCTTCGCACCTTGGCAAGTAATGTTTTATAATTATATGGTCAGAAGGGTTTGTCTTTTATAAGTGAAGCAATGAATGTTAATGAAAATGATCACTCAATCTCAAAACTATGATGAAAAGATTTAAATTACAGGATAATTTGGAACCCTGAGTTCCATGATTATTATAAGACACCCAAGAAATTCAAGAAACTCAAACTCAACACTGAGGACCTGTTGCAATATTATATCCACTCTTGCTTACCTCTTTGAAACCTAAATTATTTTATACAGGATTTTTAAGCCCACAGCATATTGATTGCAGACTTTTGCATAAAACTCCTGCACACTCTGATGCACAGAGTTCCTCATTATCAACATTCCAAGAAAAGTGGTTAAATTTTACAACTGCTAATCCTATAAACCACATAATCTAAACTTCACACTCCTTTGTAATGGTGTTGGGTTTTAAGAGTTTATAATAATATAATTGACCTTCATTACAAAATAGGAAGTATTTCACTATTAATAAAAATCCTCTCTTTGGTATCTTTTTATTCTAATAATCATCTAGTATACTCTTATTCATCATATAGAAAGACATTAGAAATTTTATTAACTATGCTTATCACAGCAGACAATTAGCTGTTACATATTCCTGGCAAGATTCTATAGAACACTAAGAAGTCTCTTTCTTTTTTTTTATTTTTCTCTTTATTTTTCTCAGTCTACTTATGAAGAATTTAAGCTATTTTCTCATATATTCTGAAGGATTGTTTTTAACAATAGACAGTGGCCCTATCACAAACTGAGGTCTATAATTTAAATTTTGCAATTATTACAGATTTTTCCAAGTGCTTACAAATCACCCTGTGAAAGGCTTTAAATCTTGCTGTAGCACGTGCAGGTTTCTAGACATTTTTTTGAAAACTGCTTTTCATCAAAGATAGAGAGAACAAAATTAAGATCAATACTTCTTTTTCCATACATTTAAAAAATTTCCAGTTATGATTTGCAATTATTCTTAGAAAAACGTAATTAAAATTCTAGCATGGGCCAAATATAGTTGCAAGTACAAGAAATTAAGCCATATTTCCAGAAACTATGGGAAAACTGATTCAAGGGAATGGTTTCCTAATTGTAGAAACCAGACTTGGTGTGCAAGGAAAAGTCCTTCCATTTGTTAATTGGTATGGAGCTCAAATGATAAATTACATTTTGCTTCTGTTACCTTTGCAGCTTTAAAGAGTAAGCAACTATAAATTTAATTCTATGCTGACTTAGGTTGAGTGGTCATTTATGCTGATGATTTACTCAAGGTACTTAAACTTTGTAATATACACATATGTACATGTACATAACATGTAAACTTTTAATATATTTTTGTCATGTATATATTTGTATTATCAGACCTCAGACAATTTTACGTATTGGTCTATATCATCCCAAGCTCCTTTCAGAATTTCAACTGGTATTTAAGTTACAGTTTTCTCATTTCCTCCACCTTTGTTTCTTCTACCCCTCCAGGGAGACCCACTACATTAGCTGAGACCATGGGGAAAGCTGAAATGTGGCTCATTCGAACCTACTGGGATTTTGAGTTTCCTCGCCCATTCCTGCCAAATTTTGAGTTTGTTGGAGGACTCCACTGCAAACCTGCCAAACCCCTGCCTAAGGTAGCCTCCCACACTTTTATTTCCTTTATTTGCTTTGAGGCTCTTCACTAGGATACAACATTACTAAAAGTGCACTCTTCAAAAACAAAAACTTGAAGTCCAGCAATATTTGCATCCAAGTCCAATGTGTTTACCTGCTGTAACCGTTGCCCTTAACTGACTGCTCATTTGACATGCTAGAGTTTGACATCTTAGAGCACCTCCTAACCAGGATATTCTTGTCATGCTCCAAATCTGTATAAAATCGCCCCTTGCAGACAGCTGGATGACAAAATGAACACAGAGAAAAGGTACTTAATTCTGCATATTTATATAACAATGGATAATTTCTCCCATCTGTATCTGAAAATGTACTTAGTATAAAATAGAAAAAGAAACATGTTACTATAAAGATGATACCCTTCATGAAGGAAAACTAATCTAACGGATTGTAAATTGATGAGTGTGAGCTCTAGCTCATAAGCAAGCATCTTTTACAAAATAATTTTATGACCTTTTAGACATCCAGTTTATCTGCCTTCCAGCAGACAGCAACACAAAGCAAGGATTATATTCCAGGCTTAACCTACTACTAATTTATTTCAAAATTTAACGATGTAAGGAACATTTCATAAGCTCTAGAACCTATGGAGGAGTTTTCCTTAACCTGGCTTTAGTTTTTCAACCTTACTCAGGCATAACAGATATATCAAATTGTAAAACTTTTGAAGTACTCATCATAATTATTTGACTTACACAAACATCATGAAGAGGCTTTCCTCGTGTTGATGAACACATCCATCACTTCACTAATGTGAATTTGTGTGTGTGTGTGTCCTCTACAGCCTAATCATGAATGTTGACTAAAGAACATCTGTGTTTACAAGTTTTATCTTTAGCAAATTATATCTTACTTGATATTTATATGGGATTATATGTTACCTCCTCCTTCAAATTGAGAGCTCCTTAGGCTTAGAAATGTGCCATTCAATTTTTTTTTTTTTTTTTGCAAAATTCAGTAGGGTTTTTTTCGACATAGGAGACATGCAATTTGCTGTCCTATTTAATCAAGTTGTGCCCTATTTGTTTGAGTTAATCATGTTTAGGATATCAATCCCCTATCTTATATATAGTTTATAAATAGGTTGAGTATAATAATGGTTTTCTTTTTTATTTTTCCATGTAGAATATTTTTAGATGAATACATTCCATTTGTTGACATTCTTTTTTTGGTTCTTTTGCTATAGGAGACAAATCCATAAAGACATCACTCAGGTGACTGTCAAAGAGATTATAATTTGTTTTCTATGTATGTTATGGTTTCATTTCTTATATATTTAATATCTTGAATGAAATTTTGTATATGGCGTAAGATATTGACACAGATTCATTCTTCTGCATGTTGCTGTCCAGTTTCCCAGCACCATCCTTATTTCCTATTCCTTTGCTCTTATTCCTTTGTTACATTTAACTGCCCGGATATGTGAGTTTATTTCAGGGTTCTCTATTGTTTTCATTGATTTGGCTACATCTCTTACTTAATTATCATACTGTCCTGACTATTGTTTATTTGTAGCACAGTGTGAATTTATAGAACATGACATCATTTTCCTTCTGCTGTGTCAAGTATGCTAGACAAATGTGGCTTTCATGGACCAAAAGCATTTGGGGAGTTTTGTTCTATTTCTTTGAAAACCATCACTAAGATCTTAATAATGACTGTATTGAACTATCTGTTCCTTTGTTAAAATAGTCATTTTAACAATGCCAACTTTTCCAGTGCACCAGCCCAAATATCTTTCCATTTGTTTGTGTCTCCCCTTCTTTAAGTTGGGTAACAGCAAAAAAGCATTCTAAATTACATGTTTTTACTCTCCTGACAAATTTGTTAAGTGTCTGTTGCCACAGTATCTTCTGTGCCACAAAATTTCAGTCATTTTTTTCTCTGAATAGATTACTTCTGTCTTTCCTACTGGGAACTACATTCTGCATATATTTCTGTGAATGACAGTATTTCATGTGTTCCCCTAAACTGTTTCACTCTGTCTCATTCTTTTCTTATAATCTGATTATATGACTGTTGTGCTGTCTTTGAATTTGTTGATCCTTTCATGTTGCCTGTAGTTTTGGAACCATTTTGAAATTTCATAACTATTATGTCTTAATTCTTTGATTTCTGTTTGGTTTAATGTTACATTTTCTAAGTCTTTTGAAATTCTCCTGTTGTTCATGTATTGTTTTATGACAGGTTGCATCTGTATGACCATTATTTTGACTTGACATCAGATAAGTCACCTATATCCAGCTTATTAATGTCTGTCTAGAATTTGGTCATTTTTAAAAAATATTTCTCAATTTATTCATTTTCTGTGATTCTTCATTTTGGTTTGTAGACATTAAATAACATAGCCAAGTCTTGAAATCTGACACAAGGGTCACCTATAGGAGGTGAACCTTTCCACATTTATGTACAATCTCCTTCCAAAGATATCTTTATGGTTCCATGTGGCTGGTGTCAGCTGGCTTCTCTAGAAGGATTTCAGTCAGGAGAATTTCAGTCAGCTCCTGCATATGTCCAATTAGATCTTCACCTTTAGAAGCACCTTTTACTATATGCAAAAAGGCCCCTCTCAGAAAGGACTTGGTTTCAGACGATCCTTTCTATTGCCTGTGATATGAGCTATAAATAGAGAGCTATGGTAAGTTCTCCTGAATCCACTCAGAACTGGCTTTTTGATCACCAAGGTATTATGATCATAAATACTATTAAGAGTAGTTGTTTTAAGTTTCAAAAAAATTACTTGAACCCAAGTCAATAATGTGAAACTTTCTGATCATTACATAAAGAACTACCTAAAATTATTTGCTTTCATTAATTATCAGATCCTCTCATAATATCTGTACTTCCGTTATAAGAAAGATATTTGGCAAATCTTAATTATCTTAAAATGTGTATAGTCTAAACTTCATAATATATACAAGTGAAACTTCATGGAAAAAAGTAATGAAGATGCAGAAACCATATATGTAAAAAAAGTTGGAACTATACTAAATTTAAAACTATAGAATCATTAAAAAACTATGTATGTGAAATCTAATAAGCAATTTTCTTTTTGGATGGAAAGATATACTTTAGGATCATAAATTTCTGAATACATATTACATATTTATATTTATTTAAACAAATAGAACAAAACACTAGAATAAAAACTTGAAAATATGCAGTGAGGTTAAATTCTAGCTAGAATATGGATATTTACTTGTTTCTTTTACATGCTTTTCCAAATTTTCTTACTACGAGCATGTTATATTCACAATGATATCACAGAATGATCAGTTCATGTCAAAGCTAATCTGTAAATGGAGTTTGTATCTACCACAGCATGAGTTAAGGATGCTATAGTCTGTGAGCTAGTGAGACAAAATATTGAACACTGGAGCTGTAAAAATTGCCACAGATTGAGGATGCGCCATGTAAGTACAGGAAACTTCACTGATGCTCACGTTGAAACTAATGTCATTGGGATGGAATTTTACTTTTGAAGAGTTTGCAAGCAATGTATAACCTGCTCTGACAAAATTCAGAAATATTTGTAGTTTACTATAAAGAAAATGCTTCCAAAAGAAGCTTTACTATCACATTCTGGTATTTTATTTAAGTAACCATCTTAGGTTCCATTTATGTTGTTGCAAAAGTTACATTTGCATTTTCTTAATAGACAAATAGTGTTCTATTGATATTATGTGTGTGGTAGGTGGTTGTATTTGCAATTTCTTTATCCAGTCACCTACCTATGGGTATTTAGAGATTATGTTACACTTTAGTGGAATAAAAATAATCAAAGGATAAAACACAACAAAAGTAGCTTTAGACTCCAGTAAAGATGTGGTTATCAAAAGGAAGGAGTAGCATGAAGGGGAGGAATGTGAAGAGGGTGAATCTGATAGGACAGTGGCCCTGGAGTTTGGGGGAAGTGAGTATACACACTGAGGTGTGAACCTATTTGTCCAAATGTATATACCTTGTTAAATTAATGGAAAATAATAAAATTTTATTTTTAAAATAGCTTGATAAAGGAATTGAAATTGGAAAGCATATTTTTATTTGGGGGGAGCTGGTCAATGGGAGAATTATTATGTAGTGACTACAGAATTTCAATTTTGCAATATGTAAAATGTCTATAAATTGTACAACAATGAGAATATATTTACACCGCTAAACTAAAATCTTAGATATTATCAAAAAGTAAATGTTATATTATTTATACTTTGCCACTTTCTGTAACACTTATTATTCTCATAATTCCTAAAGTCCATGATGTTCTCTCCTGTGCTATACCTAGCAATCCTAATATAGTTGTGCTGTTGCTTTTTGTGATGGAGCAAATTCTTTCTTCACAGGAGATGGAAGAATTTGCACAGAGCTCTGGAGAAAATGGAATTGTGGTCTTTACTCTGGGTTCAATGGTCAGTAACATGCCAGAAGAGAGAGCAAATGTGATTGCATCGGCCCTTGCCCAGATTCCACAAAAGGTTAGATAAAGTATATTAATAATGGACAACTGCTAAGTGTGACACTTAACTCGGCATGGATGTGGACTTACGTATGCATGGCAAGTTGTAAAGATGACTGTACTTTCTTTCAGACATAAGCTCAAACCAAATTACTCATGGCAGGTGTTCAAACAGTAAGAAGTATGTTTCATGTGCCATTACCATTATGATTGAAATTAAATGTAGTTTAGAAGCAACAGGTGGAGATTTGCTATTACAGTGGTGTTGTGGGAAATTATTGAAAACAGAAATTCTACCTGTCATTAGTTAATTTTACAAGAATGCTGAGGGCGGGGTGCATTCCAGGGTACAGATGTCATCAGAAAGGATTAAATTTCAACTATAACCTTAAGCAGGAAAATAATAAAGCTTGAAGGCATCATACAATTTTGGCCTGTCAGTAATCCAGTCCTCTCTTCTTTAAAATTTTTGGAATTAGCCTGTGCAGTGTATTGTTAATGGTACTAAAGAATGCCAAGCTATTTCCGTGTACCTGAGCCAGACACGGAGACTAACATGAGGAAGAAAAGAGAATATTTTAAAGAATGCACCTGAAATCACCTGGGTTAAAGTAAATTTCATGTGCACCCTATTCATAACACATTACTTCCCATTTTATAGAACACTCCTGCATTCTCTAGGTCTTTAAGAGAACTGTTAGTTTTCTAGCCAGAACAATTTCTAATTATCACCTGAGCTAAATTTTTGCTGTAAACTTAAGGTGTTTTCACAATGCTGAGCAAAATGATGTAAAACACTTGTAAAGTATAATGCAAATTATGAGTTTTGCTGGAGAATTCCAAAATTACAATCATTGTTAATAGACGTGGAATTCCTCGGTTCAAGGTCTCATGTTAATCATGCTGTTGATGCTCTGTAGTGTTCCACTCAACCAATAGATAAAGTATAAAGTATCTTTGGTTTATTTCTCCATTTCTGCTGTTATTTAAAGTGAGCAGAATCCCCTTTTCTCCATTTTAGAATTTCCAAGCTGTACGCAGAAATAAGACTCTAGATTAGAGTAAAATATCATGTCTTGAAATTTCTCTTCAGTGTCCTTAAAATTAATATCAAAAATACTGCAGAGAAAATTTGTAATCCACAGAATTATTTAGTTCTCCAAATAAGTAAAGTAACTAGATAAGCTTTTTCCAAATAAAAAGATGTAAAATGGTATAAAATAACTTGTGGAACAAGTAGATACAAGAAAACATTCTGTGGCACATAGAAGAAATAAATACTGTAATGCCACATAGGAAGATGACAATTATATAACAGATCAAAATAAATAAATGTGAGATTATAGCAATGTCCTGTCCTGCTCTTGCTGCTTTAAAATTATATTGACTAAAAATCACTAAATACTCGAACTGATCATGGATAATCTCATTTGTCTAGTACAGACAAATATTTCATACACTGGGATGTGTGAAACATCATGATTGTATCCTTTTTTTAGTGGATATTAAAACAAATTTACAAGTGTGGTATTGCTATTATTCCACTTTTAATAGCAATCATATGCAGTACCTCTTGTCTTCATTACATATCTTCAGAGAAATGTACCTAACTAGAGTATTCCTTAACGTCAGTAGATCTCAAACATGCTCTAATATTGAAATCTGACTATTGAAATAATATTTTCTTTCCCTTAACAGGTTCTATGGAGATTTGATGGCAAGAAGCCAGCTACCTTAGGGGCAAACACTCGAATCTATAAGTGGATCCCTCAGAATGACCTTCTTGGTAAGATTCTAGAAAGCAAACACTCAAATAAAGGATAATATTTCACATGGAAAAAAATACTAGAACATTTACTATTGCATAACATGAGATATAAAATTTAAGTTCTTTACATTTATATTGCAGTCTAATGTGTTAAATGATAACAGCTGACAGTTGGCAACTTATTATAAGCATATTCATCTCTTATGTCTTAGAATCAAAATATCTATTTCACCTGTAATTCTCATTGAAAATTTTATAAAAACTATGTGGATTATCTCACATTTTAGTAATCTGTCAGCTGCTTATACATCTATTCTGTTTGGGGGATGTTTTCTCACACCTTCACTGCGCACATGCTTCACTCCCTCCACCAAACCTCCCCTTTCTATTTCTATTCCTGTGTTCGTCGCTTCCCCCATTGCCACTGAAAACCAGAGTATCTTCACCTGGATTGTCTGCTTCCTAGTTCACTCACCTTATTTCTACCTTTTCTCTTCTATACCAGTACTCAGTGACAGTGAAAAATATATATAACTTCCATTACTACCAGTGATTCTAAAGGAAATTAGATTGTAAAAATTCTCTAATTTCTGTAGGAAATTAACCATAACATTAGAATATCTCATGTTCTCATCTTTCCTTCTGATGATTCCAGTGTCACCAATGTCAAACTTCCTGCAGTCCTGATGTCTGTTAGTGCCATGTTAGAACCAGTGACTGAACTCTATTTCAAGGACTACGTCCTAACATGTCATCTTAAATTCTTTATTTCTCACAGCCTATTTTTTTAATCCATAGTGTTCCTATTAATTTATTCACCTGCCAAACTTGTCTCATTCACCACTTGCAAATCATACAACATTGTTAACTTTCCTCTCTAAAAAGAAGAAATGCTTTTTGCCCTGAGAGCTGAAAGACTTCAATGAACTTTATGTGTAATCTGTTATCTACAAATCATGAATCTTTCAGTGCCACACCTTTCCCTAATCTCATTTTAACTCTCAGACTTATAGTTAATAATATCCTAAAATCAATTGTAGGTCACCCAAAAACCAAAGCCTTCATAACCCATGGGGGAACCAATGGCATCTATGAGGCGATCTACCACGGCGTCCCGATGGTGGGCGTTCCCCTGTTTGCAGACCAGCCTGATAACATGGTGCATATGATGGCAAAGGGAGCAGCTGTCAGAGTGGACTTTCACACAATGTCTAGCACAGACTTGCTCAATGCATTGAAGACAGTCATTAACGACCCTTCGTGAGTATCACAATTTTCTAATAAGTAATATTTAAACATAGGTTCCTTTGTCACCAATAAATATTAGTTTCACATTCTTTAGATATTAGCTGTGAAGCTATTAGTATATTACACCAGCGATCAAATATTTTTCAATACTTCTTTTTTAGCTTAATAATGTATTTGTTTGTTCTTTAAGCAATCTTTTTTATTTTTTCACAATATAGTATTCCTTCCCCCAGGTGTGACCACTATTGTTCTCCCACCATCAAACTGCTTATAGTCCTCTACTACACAGCACTGTGTTCTCTTCCCCACCTTTTCTCTAGTCTACCCCTCTTCCTCCCTATCCCAGTCTCAGTAGAGGCACAATTAATAAAGCCTGGTACAGGAACAAAAACACACAGACCAACAGAACAGAACTGAGAGACAGAAATAAACTCACATACATATGTAAGTTTATCTATGACAAAAGAGCCAAAAAATACACCAGAATAAGAATAACCTCTTCAGTCAGTGATGTTAGGAAAACTGGACAGCTGATGGCAAAAAAAAAGATGAAGAAAAGAAAGAAACTAGCCCACAATCTCACACCCTATACCAAAATAAATGCAAAATGGGTCAAAGACTTGGATGTAAAACCCAAAAACCATAAAATACAAAGAGAACATATACAAAACATTTCATGAGATATGCTTCTGTGATGACTTTAGAGATTTGTCCCCAATAGCAAAAGAAAAAAGAGAACATAAAAATCTAGCACTACATCAAACAAAACAGCTTTTGTACAGTGAAAGAAATCAAATGAAAAGACAACTTCCTGAATAAGGGAAAATGTTTGTATACCACACATCGGACAAAGGACTGATTTCAAAGACAGAGAACTCATAAAATGCTATAAAAATAAAACAATTAACCCAATTTAAAAAAAAGGGCAAAAAAATTAAACAGACACCTCTCCAAAAGAGACATTAAGATGTCCACCAGGTACATGAAAAAACATCCACCATTCCTTATTATTATTAATGCAAATCAAGACCCCAATGAGATACCATCTTATATGCTATGGCCTTATCAGGAAAAAAACAAAAAGGAAGAAAGAAATGTTGACAAGAATGTAGAGAAAAGGGGACATTCCTAACTACTAGAGGAATGCAAACTGGTCCATCTCTTATGGAAAGCACTATTATGTATAGGAGGTATCACAAAACATTAACCATGGATATGTCATTTGACCACAGTAAATCCACTCTAGACCTCTATCAAAAATTTCAAAATCAGCCAAGGTGCTAGAATAGAGAGGCTGGTACCAATTTCTGTACTAAAAACAAATTTTAAAAGGACTGATAATAAGCTCTTAGCAAAACCCAGAGGCTCTCTGAACAAGCTCTACACACCAGCAATTTTCCTGGATGCCCAAGAACCAAAATGGGGGCAAAAAAGGGAGAAGCCGATTTTCACTGGCTCTATAGAGAAGCCCAGCCCACGAAGATGGCCAACATCTTCCAGTACAGTGTGGATCCCAGAGCAAAACTCCCATTCCCCCATCCAACAGCTATATTTTCAGCTACCTGTAGGTGAGTAACAGCCATCCACTCCAAATAAACAGACTTTATGTATTTTTTTTAAGATTTATTTTATTTATGCATACAAGAAAGGGGTACAAGCTAACGGTGTGGGAGAGGGGAGATAAGAGAAGAGTCACCACCAGAGACAAAGTGGGGAGCAGAACAGGTGAACTGCCTGAAATAGCCTTCTGAGGGGAGCTGTAGGTGAGACAGAAGAAATCTGCTGCACCATGTGGGTCAGCGCCTGGCTGGGGATCAAACTCACACTGCAGTGGCTTCGGACAGTTTCGTGGTGCTGAGAGTTAACCCCTTGAGCCAATGGGAAGCCCAGAACTTTATTTTTCCCTTCTTCTTTTTTTTTTTCCTTTTCCCTAAGGCACAACTCACTAGTAAACCACTTATTGCAGGGCAGCACATCCAACTCAGCCCTCTGGCGCCACCTACTGAAGAGGACCAGAATACCAGCCCCAACACTTCCCAAGCAGAACCTGAGATACCAAGCACACCACTCAACCAGCCCAGGTCCCCAGGCAGACCAGCCCTGACTGACTGGGAACTCACAGTTCCTGTGCCCTGCATAGGGGACCTGCAGCAGACCTTAGCTACACCAGGAAGTGTGTCCCACTCAGCCTGCTGCACCCAACAGTGGACAAGGCCACAATTGGAGCTTTGTGATGCCAGGTCCTATATCAGGGATCTAGTCTACAGAAACCACAGCAGCCCTTACTCCACAGTAGGCCAGACAGTGTACAGATCCACTCACACCGAGGTAAGAGCACTGGGATGTCATGCTGGTTAGTAGCAGCAGTCTGGCCAACAGGTGCCATGGGAAACCCTGCCCCTAAACCCACCCAGCTGCTTCAGCAGCCCAAGTGGCACACAGAGCCATCCACTGCACATGAGAAGATGTCTAGTAGAGATATCCAAAGGGACAGCAGCAGGAGTACCTGTCCTACTTCCATTCACCACCCACAGTGGCCCAAGCGCTACACACACACACACACACACACACACACACACACACAGAAACCATGCCAACAAGCTCCAGTGGCAAGGGCCCTACCCCCTAAAACAACATGAAAGTGAACAGTGAGGAGAAAGAAAACTACAAGTGACCCACCCAGCCCTCCTAGGAACAAAGCATCACAGAATGAAAATCAGTTTCTAGAACACAATACTGACACGGAAGAATTTCTCTGCTGGACAGATAAAAAGTTCAGGGTGATCTTTATCTAAAAATTAAAGATGCAAGCCTCTCTGGTGGCTCAGGGGTCTCAGCGTTATCAATTGCCAGCCACTGTGGCATCAATTCAACCACAAGCTGGGGAGGTGACCCACATGGCGGAGGACCTCTTCTGTCTCATCCCGCTGGTCCCCTCCAGCAGTGTATTTCAGTAGATCTGCCTGTTCTGTTCACCATTCTGTTTCTGGTAACTCCTCTCCCATCCTGCACTTCTGGCTTATACCCCAGTTCTTGTATGCATAAATAAAATAAAAATAAATCTTTAATAAACATAGAGGAAGAAATTTCAGAAACCATCCCATTTATGATTGTACCCTCATAGTAAATGTCTGGGAATAATCTTAACAAAGGAGATGAAAGACCTATAAAAAGAAAGTTACAAAGCACCTTTAAAAGAAATAGAAGATATAAAGAAATGGAAATGCTCATGAACTGGAAGAATTAACATTATAAAAATGAGCATCCTACCAAAAGCAATTTACAGATTCAATGCAATTCTAATAAAAACCTTGATGACATTCTTCAAAAAAAAAAAAAAAACTGAACAGAGAGCCCTCCCTGGTGGTGCAGAGAGTTAAAGCACAAAACCGTGAAGTGCCCCTTCCGTGAGAGTTCGATCCCTGCCAGGGAGGTGATCCACTTAGCTCTCCTGTCTCAGCCTGCTGTACCTCTCAGCAGCGTACTTTGTCAATCTGCCTATTCTGCTCCCCACTCTGTCTCTGGTGAATCATTTCACTGCCTCATACACCTCTGGCCTGTAACCCCATTCTGTATACATAAATAAGTCTTTTTTCAAAGAGTGAACAAGCATTGTTGAAGTTCATTTGGAACCATATAAAACCCCGAATAGCAAATGTTCTCCTGACTGAAAGGGGTAAGAATGAAGGCATTACAGTCCCAGACTTCAAACAATATTAAAAAGCCATTATAATAAAAACAACATAGTAGCGGAACAAAAATAGACACCAGACCAATGGAATCAAATTGAAAGCCCAGACATCTCAGATATATAGCCAAGTAATTACAACAAAGGAGCAAAGTATATACTTTAAAAAAAGGATAGCTTCTTCAATAAATGCCATTGAGAAAGCTAGATTGGCCCATGTTAAAAATAAATAAATAAATAAATAAATAAAACTAGACTACTTTATCACGCTATATACAAAAATCAACTGAAAATGTTAAGTCTTGAGCATAAGACCTAATGCTAAATATATATAAAAGAAAACATAGGCAAACATTCCATGACATGCACCTCAGAAATATCTCCTAGCATTATTTTCCAGAAACAAGGAAAACAAAGGAGAAGGTTAACAATTGGGACTATATTAAATTAAACAAAAAAAAAATCTGTACAGCAAAAAGAGACAACTATCAAAACAAAGAGACATCCTACTGAATGGGAGAAAATGTTTGCACACAATACCACAGATATGGAACTGGATCAAATACTTACAAAATACAAATGGTCAACAGATATATGAAAAAAGTGTTCAATATCACTAGTTATCAGAGAAATGAAAAATCAAAACCCAATGAGATCCTACCACACTCTAGTAAGAAATTCCCACATTAAAAAAAAGGAAACAAGTCCTCGAGATGATGTGGAGATTCCTCTGAACACTAAAAATGAATCTCTCATAGGATTCAGCGATGCCATTCCTAGGAATCTACCTAAAGGACACAACAATACTAATTCAAAAGGAAACCTGCATTCCTATGTATAATGCAGCATTATTTATTACAGCCAAGATAAAGAAACAACCCAAATGCCCCAAAACAGACACATGTATTGAAAAGTTGGGGTATATTCATACAACAGAATATTACCAGCAATCAAAAAAGACAAACTCATATGTCATTGCAGGTAACATGGATAGAGCTGATTATGTTAGACAAAATTAGTCAGAAGGAAAAAGATAACAGATGATCTCACTTACATGTGGAATACAAAGAAATAATCAAAAAGTTAAGAGAAAGAAAAAACTGGCAAGCTGACTGTAAAATAGCATAGAGCAGAGGAAGGAGAAGAGCGAGTAGGGGTGCCCAACGTGGGAGGGTGAACACAAGGGAATAGGGTGATGGTTCATGAGTGATACGGTGGTGGGAGGACTAGAGACTTCAGTGATGTGAGAAAATTAATTAATTAATTAACTCGGAGAAAGCTGACTTGAAAGAAAACATACAATGTTTCCAAAACTTGGCTATTGTAAATATAGCTGCATAATCATACATGTATCATTTTGGCTTTCTGTTTTTGTATTTCCATGTTGATACTTAGAAGTGAAATCAATGGATACTATGGTAAACTCATTTTAATAGTTTGAGAAACCACATACAAGTTTCCTTTACCGGTTACATCTGGTTGCTGCACCCAAGCACAACTGAAGATACCTCAGACTTGGAGAATAACAATAAAGAATAACAAACCAGGAAAAACAAGAATTACTGAGGCCAATAATGGCTTTTTACCTTACCCAAAGTTGTGCCCAGTACTATCCAATCCTGCACAGAACTTGATAATGATGGTGTCTTCCCACCACTGAAGACATGCAGTTTCTCTCTGGCAACAGGCCGCATGTCTAAGATGGCATCTTCCTGCCTCCCTAGATACTTGGCAGCCAAACGATAAACCGGGATCCAATTCACAGATACTACAAAAAAAAAAAAAAAAAAAAAAAAGCTCAGCACAGCATTAAACAATACTCAAGTCCACAGCTGTAGTGACAAAATGGCCTGACAAGCCACTCACTCACTTTAACATGATGCCTGTTTCTGGATCTCCCTTCCTCTCCAGGCCTCGCTTCAGCAAGATACCTGTTTCTTCAGGTCTCCCTTTCTCTACCAGGTCTAATTTTTCCAAAATGGCTACTCAGGGGAAACTGAAGTCAATAGCCTCTGCCATGTGCCCTGTGCTCACAAAGCTCAACTCTGTAATGCCCTTGTGGAGCCGCGGAGCGGTCCAGCCCTCCGGCGCCATCATGATACCGCAACGCTGTGGCCAGCGCTCCGCCTCTCTCTCCCAGCATCTTCCGCAGCGGCCACACAACCTCCCTCACGCGCGCCTGCGCAGCTTTTCCTGCCCCAGCGTCCCCACCCAGTTTCTTCTCTTGCGTGTGGGAGCTTCCTCTCACGCACGTGTAGAGCTCCTCCTCATAGTACTCTGAATTCACTGTCTTGTGTACAACTGTTCAGTCTTATTACCATTTTTTTTAATGACTTCCATTTTCCACTATATATACTCATGGGCTCTTTTTGTTACAGGGCACCTCGGTGTGAACTGGGCTGCCTGTCTGTGGGGCCTCACCCGTGCGCTTAAAATTTAGTTGTACTGCAGGCACACACAAAAGAGTCAATAATGGGGTTATTTACAAAAAGGGAAAGAGAGAGAGATACAAGTTAACTAGAATATCTCACCTACTAGGCTGACCTGGAGCCCTGGTAACAAACTATTCTGTAGCTGTTGGATTACCTCAAAATGAATTAAATTTCATTTTGCAATTTAATTTATAAGTCTATTTAAAATATTGTTCATTTTAAAACAGTATTTACTCCCCCCCCTCCCCTGCCCCTGCCACTATGATGATGTACTTATTTACATAAGTACATCATCATAGTCCCCTCATTCCTCCCTCCTTCTGATCTCTTTCTGTCCCCATCCCAATAGGATATCTCTGGTTTATAATTGTCTGTTATTGCTGTGTTGTGTTTTGTATTGTAATAACAATATACTATTTTTCCTTATGTTTTATTTGGTTCTCTTAACTTGCTGTTTTAATACAATTGGTTTGTAATATATTTTGAATTCCGGTCAAGAGATACATGAGATAAACTGATAGTACAAGATGTTGCCTAGGTATTGAACATGTAGGGTTACATAGTCCAAACACCATATCTGAATTAAATTCTAAATGTTATAGGTGTCCGCTCAAAATTTTGAGCATGGGTGTGTACTGACTGGATGCTTGTTTCAAAAATCATTCTGACTGTACTATGGGAAAGAGAAATAAAGGGAGTAAAGAGAGGAACAAAGTGAAGCAGTGAGGAGTCATTTCATACATATGAATTCTATAAATGCTAAATAAAAATCAATCTAAAAGTTTGTTTTGGCGTATACATATATGTTCTTCATAAAAAAGTTAATTATCCCTTTTTATATGGTACTTTAAATATCAGAAATATTTTACATTTACAAAATTCTAACTTTACAGTGAAAATCATGTAATGAAGGCCCAACCATATACTTCATTTCAATGACATTTATTTTGAGTCATATTGTGACATATTACAAACTTTCAATATATGGTATGCATAGATAAATTAGTTTCCTTCCAATACCTATACATTTCTTTTTCTCTCCAGATACAAAGAGAATATCATGAAATTATCAAGAATACAGCGCGATCAGCCAATGAAGCCTCTGGATCGAGCTATCTTCTGGATCGAGTTTGTCATGCGCAATAAAGGGGCCAAGCACCTGCGGCCGGCCTCCCATGACCTCACCTGGGCCCAGCTCCATTCCCTGGATGTGATTGGGTTCCTGCTGGCTTGTGTGGTGACTGCAGTGTATGTCATCATAAGATGTTTTCTGTTTTGTTGCCGGAAGGTTGTCAAAAGTGGAAAGGACAAAAGGGAATAGATGTTTCTCAGTCCTGAAGCTGGTATGTCTCACAGATGGGACTTTTCTAGTTTATTCCTGCAAGAAAGATGAGTTATAAGTATCCCTTTCTCCTGTGACATTTTTCTTCCAATTTCACTTTTCAAATCAAAATTGTTTAAGAGATTTACTACCCAGTTGAGAGTTAGAGATAAGTCATTCCAAAGAGAAAATAACTGGAGAATAAACAAATAAAATTATTTTAATATGTGTTGACTATTCTAATTAAAATATGATACCAAACTGCCAAATCCATAGATTAAGCTCAGTCCTTGACCATGCTGGTACAGACACTATACCACAGCACCCATGGGTTACTGTATGACTCCACTCACAAATTGAATACAAATAACAAATAAAGGAACAGACAAATAAACCTAAGTCAATATTAGGTGTCTGACTGCAGAGTGTGGGTGTGGGGGCCAAAGTGTGAGAGGGGACGCAATGAACAATGGTCATGGTTTGGTCATGATGTAGTAAAATACATACAGAAAGGTATAAACATGTACCTCCAAGGCAAATATAACTTTTAAACCAACATTACCTCAATAAAAACATAATGAACGGGCCCTCCCTGGTGGCACAGCGGGTTAAATAAAGCACAGCACTGAGAATCTAAAGCCACTTCTGCATGAGTTCGATTCCCGCCTGCCCAGGAGGTGACCACATGGTGTGGCAGACCTCTCCTGACCCACCCGCTGCTCCCCTCAGCAGTGTACTTCCTCGATCTGCCTGTTCTGTTCCCCACTCTGTCTCTGGTGAAGCCTCTCACCGCCCCTGAGCCTCTGGCCTGTACCCCAGTTCTGTCTGTACAAATAAATAAATATTTAAAAAAAAAAAAACATAATGAACAAATTTTTCCAGATCCTCAGCAAGTGTCATATGCTTCATATGACACTTGTGAATGGGGACCAGCCTTTTGGTGGCAGCCCGCAGCTACCCTGGGGTGGTTCCCTCCATTCCCATCTAGCCACAAGGGCCTTTGGAGCAGACATAGGCACCAATCTGGGCTGTGCTAGGTCCCACCATTTGCCAGTAGCCTCTACCACACACTGATAAAAACCCTAAGCCTGGACTAAGCCACCAATGCACTGAGAGAAGACACAGGTACCAGTGTGTAACACTCAGAGTTCCACCCTTATCTGGGAGCACTTAGTCACCCTTGGGGTGTCCCCTTGATCCCTGACTCAACTACTAGCACCACAGGAGCAGCTGTAGGAATTCATCCAAAATTCGTTCATCAAAATTCATCAAAAATTCATTCACAGCAATAGGGATGGAACTAGAAAGGATTATATTCAGTGAAATAAGTCAGAAAGAAAAAGAACTTTGTACCTCAAGAGATACTGTTGCAAAAAAAGAAAATGGGAAATATTTAAGCTTATCTAATAAGGGACTTATTTATAATATATAAAGCACAATTATAGCTTAATAATAAAGACCAGTAAGTTAATGTAAATAAATTAATAAAAGTTTATTGCCATTATTCCTATTAGAGTAACCCTAGATTACATTCTTTATAAATATTTAGTGATTATTAGATTCCAAAGTGAAAGCAACTATCCAAGAAAATCAAACAAAACACAACTCCCGTTTGAATTGCATGCTCTTATTTACTTACTCATTATTTATCCTTTCATCCATTTGCAGTTCATTATTCATTCATGCTTGTGTTGCAACACTGCATATGATCTAAGCTAATAGGTTCACATATCCAAAGAACATTTACAGAACTTGTTAAAATTAGGAAAATCTATAGAGAACAAAACTAGATGCCTCCTTGTAGAACGTATGTGAGACAGAATTTAGAAAGATCCAGCAATAGTGTAAAGGTTTCTGTTGGTGATGGTAAAATGCTCACAGAAGGTGCAAAATTCTATGAATGTACTATGAAAACTGAATTCTACATTTTAAATACAGCAAGTGAATAGAATATTAATTCAATATTAAGAAATCTTTTATGAAAGCAAACAAAACAATTTCTATTCAAGTAATTTGCACTCCGTTGCATAAGAATTTTCTTATTATTCTTCTATATGCGATGGCAAATTCGATCATCTCTCCCTTTGCACTGTTCTTGAAACATACACCTGTAAGATCATTAAGTCTTACATGAGACAACACTACTAATCTTCAAAGAGATATTGACCCTGTTCGTATACAAACAAGGTCATCTACTTTTGCCTTCTCCTCATGCCACACAACAGTTGGGCTCAATGGTCAGTAACATGACAGAAGAAATGTGATGCAAATGTGATTGCATCAGCCCTTACCCAGATTCTACAAAAGGTTAGAGAAAGTAACTTAATAGTGGAAAACTACTAAATGTGACTGTGAACTCTGCATGGGTGTAGCGTTATGATAATGGCAAGTTGTAAAGATGTCTCTGTTTTCTCTTAGACATTAACTCAAACCAAAACACACATGACAAGTGTTAAAGCAGTAAGAAGTATGTTTCAAGTGGCATTACCATTATGATTGAAATTAAATGTAGTTAAAGGCAGAGTAAAGATCTGCTATTATTACGGTATTGGGGAAGGTATTGGAAACACAAAATTTTGACCTCTCATTTGTTCTTTTTCCCTTGCAAGGATTCTGAGTAGATGGTATGCACCATGGCAGAAATGCCCAACTATTACATTATTTTAAAAAGATTTATTTATTTATGCATACAGAAATGGGGTACAGGCCAAAGGTGTAGGGGCAGTGAAAGGATTCACCAGAGACAGAGTGGGGAGCAGAACAGGCTGACTGATGAAACACACTACTGAGGGGAGCAGCAGGCAGGTCAGGAGAGATATGCCGCGCCATGTGGGTCACCTCCAGGGCTGGGGATTGAACTCATGCTAAAGTGGCTTTAGCTTCTTAGTGCTGTGCTTTAACCTGCTGATCACCAGGGAGGGCACCAACCAACTATCACATTTTAACAGGAAATCAAAAAGTAGAATGCATTATGCATGCAATTTTGTTTGGGGTCAAGTGTGAGCGAGGAACAATGGCCTATTTTAAAGAATCATGGTTCTTTGGTGCTGCATGTGATGTGGTAGCAATCATCTACTATGAGTGAAGCTATTCCTTAGGTATTTGCACTGTTGTAAACCAGTGTTACTTCGACAAAATGTAATATAACTTTTAAAACACATGCATTTTAATAATTGAAAGAATCTGGCCCTCCTCGGTGGTACAACAAGTTAAAGTGCAACACTAAGAAGATAAAGCCACTTCAGCATGAGTTTGATTCCCACCAGCCTCAGAAGTGATACACAGGGCACAGTAGACCTCTCCTGACCCACCCGCTGCTCCCCTCAGCAGTGTACTAAATCAGTCGGCCTGTTCTGCTCCCCACTCTGTCTCTGGTGAATCCTCTCACTGCACCTCTGGCCTGCCCCCCAGTTCTGTATGCATAAATAAATAAATCTTAAAAAAAATAAATGGACAGAATCCGATGACTCCTCCATGTGTTGCCTGCAAGAGAATCATTGTTCATGTGAGGACAGAAACAAACTTAAAGCAAAACAGTGGAAAGTTATTCCATGCAAATGAAAACCAAAAGGGAGCTGGGAGCTTACATTTACCTGAGACAAACTTTATAGACAAACAAATAGCTCAACTTCTACTTATGATAAATCACTCTCATTAAAGTGGAAATTATAGGCATGCAACAAGCACACAGTCAATAGTGAGAAACTGAAAGCTTTTCTTTTAGGAGGTGGAACAATAAAAGAAGACCCACTTTTGCCTTTTTTTACTTAACACTGTATTGTAAATCATGACCAGAGCTATGAAGCAAGAGAAATTGCAGGTCATCCAAGTTGGAAGGGGGGAGTAAATCTGTCATTATTTTAGATAACATGACCTTATTCATAGAAAAAAAAACTTTTAGGAAAAAAGTTAATGAATTTTGTAATTTGCCTGAAGTGAAACCAACATACCAAATTTTGTTATTTCTACACACTAATAAAAAGCTATCTGAAATAAAAATTAACAAAACAAAATATAGCCAAAATATATAGAGAAGATGTGCCTGAATAGCAAATGATAATAATATAATATAAAAGATATAATATAAAAAGAATCTGATTAGACTTATTTTCAATGAGATTATAAAAATGGGCAACAGGCCCTCCTTAGTGGCGCAGCGGGTTAAAGCACAGCACTGAGAAGCTGAAGCCATTTCCGCATGAGTTTGATTCCCGCCTTCCCCTGAGGTGACCACATGGCATGGCAGACCTCTCCTGACCCACCCGCTGCTCCCCTCAGCAGTGTACTTCCTCGATCTGCCTGTTCTGCTCCCCACTCTGTCTCTGGTGAAGCCTCTCACCGCCCCTGAGCCTCTGGCCTGTACCCCAGTTCTGTATGAATAAATAAATCTTTAAAAAAAAAATGGGCAACAGATGCATACAATCCTGGACATCACTAATCATCAGGAAAATTAAATAAAGAACACAATGAGATATTATCTAGACCTCAAAAGGTCTAGAGATAACAAGTTTATAGGATTGAGGGAAGAGAACACTTGTGCAATGATTGTGGAATATGAATAAACCAGCCACAATGAAAACAGTACATAACTACCAGTTGCAATAAATGTTCACATTGCTCATTAGTGCAATTAATTTGAGGTGTAAAAGTTATATTTCAGCTTCTGACTGATATTTGCTATATATTTGGTAGAAGGAATCAGTAATTTGAAAAAGAAGCTTTGCATTCAACCTGGATTCTATGAAATGGATTTTAGTTCAGCTGCTACAGCTGCATTATTACTTTAGTTCTGGAAGTTGTGGAAAGTTGCCATATGGCCTACAGAATAGATATCGTAATTGGGTCAAGGTAACGAGAATCTACAGTGGTAATGAAGTGATATTTCTGACATCTCTGGCTTCCATTCTTGTTGATCCCAACAAAATATCAGCCTTAAACATGATTTATTGTACTTCTTTAAAGATGATGTGGAACATAATTGCCCAATAAATAGATACATAATCTGTAAAAAGAACCATTTTGGAATTATATTTCACTCATATGAAAATTCTTTTGGTAGTGTTTATGATTATTTTGAAAAGCTCTGCAGAGGTATAATTTTGAACCGATTCTGATGCAGGGAGGGGAGTAGAGTGAAAAGATTCACCAGAGACAGAGTGGGGAGCAGAATACACAGATTGACCAAGTACACTGC